TTGTTGTCATCATTAGTTTGTGCCTAGATGAACAGGGGAAAATGTGTGCACACTACTTGAGAAGAAAATATGCTTTCAATTCTAATTTTGGCCCAAACTCATTATGTAGCATCTGAAGAAAATGGATTATTTTGGTAGTGTTCTCCAGGAAATGTGCTCATATTTAACGTAGGTTGTCTTGGAGCTCTACTTGGGTACCTGGTGCCTCTTCTCCACTATTAAAGGGGAATCAGATTTGATGTCCAGCAAATTACCATCCATTAAACATTAGTATTACTTTCAAAGATCATTCACTACTACTATTGCAATACTACTTACCAGCATATGTGCTTGCCCATACTGTGATATTGTTTTTTGGGCTCCATGACACATTACTACTTGGCATTGGAAATAGTTACTAAATTAAGTGTTATCCAGTGCTGTAATTAAGTGTCTGGTAATAGTTGTCCCAGAATGAGGCAGTATAGTCCAGTGCTTAGAGTGGGGAGGACTTTAATTAAAACTATTTATTTGTATTACTATAACCCCCTGGACCATGGCCCCATTGTGCTAAGCGCTGTACAAGGATAGGAGATCTAGTTTCAGTTCTCATTAACTAGTTGTGACCTTTGGAAGAGGCACAACTTCTCTGTTCCTGTTTCCACATCTGTACACAAAGTTGTAATGTTTGTGAAGGTCTTTTTAGATCGTTATATAGAAGATACTATGAAAGTACAGAATATTGATGCGAGTTACTAATTTTTCACATTAACAACTGCTAATATTGTTCTTATTTACAGAAAGATCCGGGACTTCAAACTAGAACTTCGCTTCACCGAAGAAAAAAAATCTAAACATGGAAAAATGATTAAATATTGAGAAAAACATTGCAAAATATAAAATAAATAAAAAAAGGAAAGGAAACTTTGAAGCTTATGTACAGAGCAAATGCCAGGGCTAGCAAAACTAATGCTGGTCCTAGATTTACCTATTGATTTAAAACAAAAAAAAAAATAGTAAAATAAAAAATACAAATTAATGTTTTATAAACCCGGGGGAAAAGAATTTTCAGCACAGTACAGAAATTTAAAGCATTCCTTTCTTTAATTTTGTAATTCTTTACTGTGGAAAAGCTCAGAATATCACCACTGTTTTAGTTAACAGTGAGAATTGATAGCTGAGCAAAGAAACGTAATTTGGATTATAAAATTCTTGCTTTAATAAAAATTCCTTAAACATGGTTTTATTAATACTCTTTCCTTTCTCCTGTCATGTTGGTATGCCTCAAACTACATTGGTGTCATTCTAGAGTCGGAGTTGGAATCCCACTCACTATAATACCTGTATGCAGTTTCCAGATCAGATTAACCTACATTTAGCCACCTGTTGCTAATATTATAAACTCAAGTACTAAAACAAGTGAACTGAACAGCTGGGTCCACCCGTTTTAGTTTTCAGTTCTTAGTATCATGCATTTTCTGTCTTCCTGAACATATTTAACTATTTATAAATAAGATTTTGAATTGTTCATGTTTTAGGGTGGTCTAAAGGGAGATTCAATGTATAGGACTGTTGAAATTGGATCTCACTCCCTTGTGCAGTAAGGAGAACTGTACCAACTCTTCCCATTTTGTGGAAGGAAACATGATCTCCATGCACCCTTTTGGCTGGCTTTAAGAAGGCTGATTTACTCTGAAGGAGTTTCATCCACCATAGCTGAAGCAAGAATTTGAGTGTGGGCTGGTCTAAAGGGAGATTCTCACAAAAAGATACCCCCAGGGATGTGGAAGAATTAATGGGGATTTTGTAATTGACACCTGCAAGTTTCCTCTGCCAATAAAGGATATTATGTAACTTACACTTAGATTATCTTAAAGTAATGCAGGTTTTTTTAATGCGTTTAATTCAGTCAGTGGACCTGGTGATGTAAGAAGCTGAAGTGGTCCGAGCCTAATCGTCCCCAATTACTGAACAATTTATTCACAAGCATATTTCTAGGGTAGTTCACAGCATTGGCACTAATACTTTATATGCAGGAGCAATGGAAATTTGCAGTGAAACAGAATAATCTATTCATAACTTCCCCATTCATAAGATGTGATTTCTAGCTTTTTTTGTGTGAGATGTGTGCAGGGGTGGTGGTTTTGGCAGGTAGATGATGGATGGCCTGAACTCCTACTTCCCCTCTCAGAAACACTTGGTAGAAACCAGCAATCCCTCTGCCCCAAGATGAAATTATAAAGCGCAGTTCTCTGGCAGAGTGGGGATCCTGTGGCAAATTTTAAAAAAGTTGTCCATAATCTGTTTGAACCTGTTTCTCCATGTAAAGTTAGCTTCTTGGTTCTTTCCCGCTGTTTAGAAGATGACCTAAAACTAGGCATTTCACAGTACCTGTTCCCTCTATTTGGTCTCTAAAATAAGTTTCTCAATTTAAAATTGAGATCTAGGGAAAATAATGTGGAATGACACAAAAATCAGCCTGCAAGTATTCACTGAGGGTAGAACAGGAACCTCTGCTCATCTTCCTTGTAAGACGAGAGGGATGTTGAATGAAGTTGAAAGGTGGCAAATTCAAAAGTGAAGAAAGAAGGAGATGCTTTAAAACAATGCACAAGCAGCTCCTGGAACTCATTGCCAAAGAACACCCTTGTGGCCAGTAGCTTAATAAGGTCAAAAAAGTTCAATGTATAACAGGAATATCTGGAATTGCAATAAATATTAAAACAGGAGATTTGAAAGGATAAAAACCCTCTGAAAGTAAGCTATCTAATTGCTGGTGTTAAGAAACTCCTTAGAGACAGGTTATCCCAGAGCTGCCTGTTAGGAAGTTTCTTACTCTCCTCTGAAGAACACTCACAAAGGCCCTGCTGAGTAAGGACTTGTGGGCTATGTCTACACTTTGAACTTAAGATGGTGTTCCCCCCTCATAGGATTTCAAGGGACCTTGAGAGGTCATCGTGTCCAGGCCCCTGTACTCAAGGCAACATAGAATATCAGGGTTGGAAGGGACCTCAGGAGGTCATCTAGTCCAACCCCCTGCTCAAAAGCAGGACCAATCCCCAATTAAATTATCCCAGCCAGGGCTTTGTCAAGCCTGACCTTAAAAACTTCTAAGGAAGGAGATTCTACCACCTCCCTAGGCAACGCATTCCAGTGTTTCACCACCCTCCTAGTGAAAAAGTTTTTCCTAATATCCAACCTAAACCTCCCCCACTTTCACTTTCTTAAACATTACTGTGTGCAAGAACATCAGTCCCATGAATGTTCACAGAAAACAAATGATTTTCAATACAAAAGCAAATTAATGGGTTTTATTTGGACTCATGCTTTTGAACCCTTTATTTGCAGTAGTCACCCAGCTTTGCCAACAACCCCTACATAGGCGAAAGTTTCTCATGACAACCATTTAAGGCTATAGGCAGTACTTTCCTCTTCAATGGGCAAGAGATAGGGTTTGGTCCTGCACAGTGCTGATGCAGGGAATGTTGTGTATGTGAAAAGTCAAAAATGATCAGCAGAGCTGAGTGCAGAGGAACCCCATCCTGCATTAATGAGAGCGCTGCTATGCACTGCTAGGGCCAAGTGACTCCTGCTTAGCAGCGGGCTACACTGGAATATGTAGTGAAACAGTGCAGTGTGAGGATGTCTCCTCAGACTCTCATTTTCCACACACCCCTTTTTCACTCTGCATATTTACAAGCCAGAAGGGACATGGTGGGAGGGGGACTTGAGACTGTCCGTTGCTCAATGCAAAAGTTAATGCCTAGCAATATCCACTTGTACTGGTATTACATGTACTCAGTAGCTCTCATCGAGCTAGCAAGAGTACAAATAGCAGTCTAGCTACACTAGCACAGGTAGCAGTAGTGGAGGTAGAGGTTCGCTGGGCTGAGTAAGTACACCCTGAATTTACAAAAAGCTTCCCTTTGTTATAAAGGGAGCATTAGGTTAATTACTATAATCTCTTTAAAAGCGTTGTGGCCTTTTTCTTTGTCTGAATTTTTTCAATTCATCCTATCCTAAAATGGTAGACTTTGCCATATTCTGAAATGATTTAAAGTTCTCTTAAATATGGACGTTATAGAAGATCTAAACAAAACTGCCTGGAAATGTGGACTTCTAGCATATACCAGACCCCCTCCAAACCAATTGAGTGCAAGAACATATAGTCTTCTACAAAACAGCAGGAGTATGGATCTCTGATTTATTCACAACAGGGTTTGAAATCTTTTTTTCCACAGTCCCTTAAACATTCTCTAGTCATATTTACTTGATTTTAAAACAAGCTATACAACATGCTGACCAATAGACACAAGATTAGCTGGGCCGGGCCTGGCCTGGCTCTCTGTCTCTTCACATTCTCCCCTGAAGATAACCATACTTGGGCTCTGAGAAACAGGAAGTGAATTCCAGAATTAAGGGTATGTCTACACTACAAAATTAGGTCAAATTTATAGAAGTTGGTTTTTATAGAAGCGATTTTGTACAGTCGATTGTGTGTGTCCCCACTAAGCGCATTAAGTCGGCAGAGTGCATCCACAATACTGTGGCTAGCGTCGACTTTTGGAGCATTGCACGGTGGGAAGCTATCCCACAGTTCCTGCAGTCTCCACCACCCATTGAAATTCTGTGTTAAGCTCCCAATGTCTGATGGGGCAAAAACATTGTAGTGGGTGGTTTTGGGTACATGTTGTCAGTTGCCCCTACCTCCATGAAAGCAACGGCAGACAATCATTTCACACCTTTTTTCCGTGCAGACACCATACTGCTTTCAGCAGACGGTGCAGTAGGACTGCAAACCGTCGTCATCTTGCAACTCTGCTCTCCTGCAGACGCCATACCACGGCAAGTGTGGAGCCTGCTCAGATCACCACGGCAGTTATGAGCATTGTAAACACCTCACGCGTTACCCTGCAGTATGTGCAGAACCAGAACCTGCAAAAGCAGGTGAGGAGGCAATGGCAGCACGGTGACAAGAGTGATGAGGACATGGACACAGACTTCTCTCAAAGTATAATCATTAAATAAGTTTGCTTTTAAACCACGTATTATATTTACAAAGTTACACTCACTAGAGTTGCCTTCTCCAGCTTCAAGGTCCGGGAGCCTGGGTTGGGAGGGTATTGGCTCCAGAGCGATAAACAGTTCCTGGCTATCGGGGAGAACGGTTTCATCCTCCGCCTCCTCATCTTCCTTGTCCCCAAAATCCTCATCCCTGTTGCATGAGGCTCCCTGCTTTAGGAGTCCACGTACAGGTGTGGGGTAGTGGTAGGGCTCCCCTCTAGAATTGCATGCAGCTCATTATAGAAGCAGCATGTCTGGGGGGCTGACCCGGAGCAGCCATTTGCCTCTTTGATTTTTTGGTAGGCTTGCCTGAGCGCCTTAATTTTCACACGGCACCGCTGCCAGTCCCTGTTGTAGCCTCTGTCCATCATGCCCTTGGAGATGTTTTTCAAATATTTTGGCATTTCGTCTTTTGGAACGGAGTTCTGAGAGCACGGATTCGTCTCCCCATACAGCGATCAGATCCAGTAGCTCCCATTCGGTCCATGCTGGAGCTCTTTTGCAATTCTGGGACTGCATGGTCACCTGTGCTGATGAGCTCGCCATGCTGGCCAAACAGGAAATGAAATTCAAAAGTTCCCAGGGCTTTTCCTGTGTACCTGGCCAGTGCATCTGAGTTGAAAGTGCTGTCCAGAGCGGTCACAATGGAGCACTCTGGGATAGCTCCCAGAGGCCAATACCATCGAACTGCGTCCACACTATCCCAAATTCAACCTGGCGATGTCAATTTCAGTGCTATTCCCCACCTCTGGGAGGAGTACAAAAATTGATTTTAAGAACCCCTTAAGTCGACAAAAATGGCTTTGTCGTGTGGACGGGTGCAGGGTTAAATCGACCTAACACTGCTAAATTCGACCTAAACTTGCAGTGTAGACCAGGGCTCAGAGTCCTCTCCTGAGCTTGCAGCATGCAGATTTGCAGCAATTTGGCTTGGCAAAAAGGAAATCTCTATTAAACTTCTCCCTTTTCTAGTTATAAAATTGATAAGATGTCTGGGCTGATCCTTAACTTTTATTGAGTGGCAGCAGTGATCAGTGCTGAAGAGAACAGAAGACATTGAGTGGGAGTTTTGTCACTGACTTCACTGGAAGTAGGACTAGGCTGTATGGGACCTCTTCTCAAAACTTGAAGTCCCACTGAAGTCAATAAGAAATGCTTTGCGGGACTGGGCCCTAAATCGGATGCAGTCGTATAGATCAAACAATGTCATACAATGTACAGAAGGTACACACATTAAATGAAAGGCTGAAGGTCAAACCTTGTCTGGCCCACAAATTAATTATATGCAGTTAATATTTGGTGGCTTATCATTGAAAAGCCTTGTGGAAGGAATGTTTTGTGCCCCATTCTGTCCTATCTTAAAACCTTTTTTCTGTTTGAGACTCAGGATTATTAAGACGGAACAAGAGGATTTCTTTATAGCCTATGCTGTTTGGCAGGCCCGCTACTCATTCCGATGCTTGGGTAACAAGCTGCTAGGTGCTATGGTAATGCAAATAATGAAAATTAAGTACAATAGACTTAATTATTAATTATACTTACTTACTTACTTATACAAGGCTCTTTGACCTTATCAAAACAGTACATGATAATTTTTCACAAATTCAGATTAACTCATTGAGTTTCCATGAAACTGATTTTAAATCAAGATTTTTTTTGATGGAAAACTGTTAAGTTCTACGTGAGCACTACAGACCAAAATTGACTGCTATCCCTGAGAAGATTATAGAGCTTATTGGTAGGAATGACATATTCTGGGCTGTATCATGGTTTCCAGTATTCCCCACAGATTAGAGAAAGTAGTGGAAAACTCATTATATGCAGGACTCCTTATACTTCATAGCACAATGGTGCCAAATTCTGTGGTGGTAACCCCTAAATTCCACAACCATGTTGGTTTATCCGGTCATGATGAAGCCTCCTTTGTTCCCAGCCCCCAAAACACACAGCGAGACTCTGGCAAGGCACTAATTGATATAAACATTGTTGATTTTTCTACCATTATTATTGTTTTCAAGGATGGGTTTTTCATCGCACTCTCTATCTGCTACAGATCCCCATCTCAGCTCCCATGACGTTGTCCAGGAGACCCAGCTCAAAACCGCTTTCTCCCAACATGCCAGGGAAGCGGGGAGCTTGGAGTCAGCTTCTATAGTTTATCTCCCCAGCTCTCCAGGTCTTAGGCTATGTCTACTCCGCGCATCTTACAGCGCACAGTTGTGCTGCTACAACAGTGCCACAGTAAGGGCTTGGCTACCCTTGCAACTTAGAGCGCATTAAAGCAGACCCAGACGCCCTAACTCACGACGCGTCCATGCTGGCACAGCACGTAGAGCCCCTGACTCCACGGCTGGAGCGCTCCTGGTAATCCACCTCGAGAAGAGGCATAATGCTTGCTGCGCCCCAGCTGGAGTGCCGTGGCACCAGTGCGGACGCCTTGGTCTGTTAATGCGCTCTGATTGGCCCCCAGAAGTGTCCCACAATGCCTGTTCTAACCACTCTGTTAGATGGTTATCTGGTCATCACTTTGAACTCTACTGCCCTGCCCTGCCCTGCCCTCAGGTGACCAACCATCAGACCCGCCCTTTAAATTCTCTGGGAATTTTGAAAATCCCCTTCCTGTTTGCTCAGCAAGGCGTGGAGTGCTCTCAGCAAATCTTTCCAGGTGACTATGCTACCACGTGCCAGGAAATCCCCAGCACGGAGCAATGGCAAGGTGCTGGACCTCATCAGTGTCTGGGGGCAGGAAGCTGTCCAGTCCCAGCTGTGTTCCAGCCATAGGAATTACGATACCTTCCGGCAGATATCAAGGGACATGATGGAAAGGGGCCATGATCGGGACACACAGCAGTGCAGGGTTAAAGTGAAGGAACTGTGGAATGCCTACCACAAAGCCCGCGAGGCAAACAGCTGCTCCGGTGCTGCCCCTGCGACCTGCCGTTTCTACAAAGATCTGGACGCAATACTTGGGGGTGACCCCACCTCCACTCCAAGTACCACCATGGACACTTCAGAGCCCAGATCAACAAGGCAGGAGGAGGAGGAGGAAAGCGGGAGCAAGGGTGCTGAGGGGGAGGGAGACACCCCGGCATCGCGAGATGCGTGCAGCCAGGAGCTGTTCTCAAGCCAGGAGGAAGGTAGCCAGTCACAGCAGCTGGTGCTTGGGGAAGGACAAACACCAGAGGAGGTGCCTGGTAAGCAGCTTTTATTTTGGGAAGAAAGTTGTTCGGTGCTGACTCTTGGGGCGAGGACGGTTAGGGCTGGATGCATATCTAGATGTGGAATAGGGCGTTGATGTGCTCTCTCACATCGCGGAAATCGGCCTCAGTGATCTCTTCAAAGGTCTCATGCAGAAGCTGGGCAATGCATGTGCGTAGGTTCCTTGGGAGAGCTACTATACTACTTGTCCCAGTCAGGCTAACATGTCTGCGCCACTGTGCCGTGGGGGGTGGGGGGACCATTGCTGCACACAGGCAAGCTGCATATGGGTCAGGGCGGAAGCCGCATTTTAGTAGAAAACCCTCCCTTGCTTCCCAGGTCACCCTCAGCAGCGAGATATCTTCCAGGATGAACTCCTGTGGAAAATGTGGGGACAGTGTTCAGTATAGGGGCCCGCTGCAGCTGTTAGCTCTCCCCAAAGCACAGAAACCCAGAGGACAGTACGGCTGTGAAACAACCAGTACTCCTTGCCCCTGTGCTTATTCACCATTTGGGGGCTCTTGTGGGTTATGTGCACTCCCGTTGGGACGGGCAAATTCTGCTATTGTGTGGACTGTGCTTGTCTTTAAGTACGGGGGAATCATTGCTCTGTCTGGTGTGAATAATGCTGCCTCTGTTAAGTGTTGCATTTTGCCTTTACAGATGCAACCTTGAGATCTCAGCCGTCTTTGTTATCACCGGCCGAAAGACTCCAAAGAATTAGGAAGAGGCCACGTAGAAGCAAGAAGTAATGCAGCAGTCCCTTAATGAAAATCAAAAAGTGCAGGAGTGGCAGGAGAGTGAAAGGTGGTCCGCCAGCAGAATGCGAATCGCCGGCACCAAAGCACGGCTCAGAAGCATTATGGAGCGCCAAGGGGACTCGATCCAGGCACTCGTAGCAATGCAGGCGGAGTACTACCGCATCCGCACCCCGTCCCTTGCAGCCGTTGTCTCAAAACTCTTTTCCTTGTGCCCCCATGTCCACCTCCAACCCACTTTCCCCCACATCTGGGTTCTTCTCACCACCAGCTGCCTCCAACACCTGTAGCTTCACCACCCAGCCCTGCAAACTACGACCCTTACCCACTGCACTCAACCCACATCACCATGCATATTAGCCAGCCTGAAGTGCAGCACTCATTGCACAGCACTCCAGACAGGACATAAGCAAATCTGTGATTGAACTGTTCCCCACCCTACCCCCTTGACCTTTCTGTTTCCCAAGCAGTTGTGTTTCTTTTCAGTAAATGAATTTTCTTTTCAATAAATGGATTTTCTGGCTTTGAAAACATTCTTATTATTGCATTAAGTAAAAGATACCATAGCCCAGGAAAGCAACAGGCACTGCAAGTCAGTGTAGCAAACACAGATTCCTACTAACTTTGGAACCACCACTCCTCACTCCTGTGCAGGGCATCAAACGTTACTGGTGGCTTTCAGCCTCAAATTGCTCCCTCAAGGCATCCCTAATCCTTGCAGCCCCGTGCTGGGCCCCTCTAATAGCCCTGCTCTCTGGCTATTCAAATTCAGCCTCCAGGTGTTGAACCTCCGAGTTCCATGCCTGAGTGAATCTGTCACCCTTCCCTTCACAAATGTTATGGAGGCTACAGCACGCGGATATAACTGCGGGGATGTGATCATCAGCCAAGTCCAGCTTCCCGTACAGACAGGCCCTTTAAACGGCCAAAAGCACACTCCACAGTCATTCTGCACCGACTCAGCCTGTTGTTGAACCGCTCCTTGCTGCTGTCAAGGCTCCCTGTGTAGGGTTTCATGAGCCATGGCATTAATGGGTAAGCGGGGTCTCCAAGGATCACAGTGGGCATTTTGACTTCCCCTACAGTGATCTTCTGGTCCGGGAAGAAAATCCCGCCTTGCAGCTTCCTGAACAGGCCAGTGTTCCGAAAGATGCGTGCATCATGCACCTTTCCGGGCCAGCCTGCGTTAATGTCAATGAAACAACCAGAGTGATGCACAAGCACCCGGAGAACCATAGAGAAATACCCCCTCCGATTAATGGACTTGGAGGCTAGGTGGGCTGGTGCCAGAATTGGAATATGCGTCCCATCTATCTCCCCTCTGCAGTTAGGGAAACCCATTTGTGCAAAGACAGCCACAGTGTCGTGCATGTTAGCCAGAGTTACAGTTCTTGTGAGCAGGATGTGATTAATGGCCCTGCAAACTTGCATCAAGACGATCCCAACGGTCGACTTTTCCACTCCAAACTGGTTAGCAACCGATCGGTAGCTGTTAGGAGTTGCTAGCTTCCAGATTGCAATAGCCATCCGCTTCTCCACTGGCAGGGCAGCTCTCAATCTCGTATCCTTGTGGCGCAGCATGGGGGCGAGCTCCTCACACAGTCCCATGAAAGTGGCTTTTCTCATCCAAAAGTTCTGCAGCCACTGCTCATCATCCCAGACTTGCATGATGATGTGATCCCACCACTCAGTGCTTGTTTCCTGAGCCCGAAAGTGGCATTCCATGGTGGTGAGCATGTCTGTGAATGCCACAAGCAATCTCGTGTGATATGCGTTACGCGAGTTGACATTATCGTTGGACTCCTCACTGTCAGTTTGTAGCTTAAGAAGTAACTCGACTGCCAAACGTGACGTGCTGGCGAGACTTGTCAGCATACTCCTCAGCAGTTCGGGCTCCATTCCTGCAGACCGAAAGGGAAGACAGAGCGCACAGTACAAAAAAGTTGAAAGATGGCACCAAATGTAGACGGAAGCACAGGGATCACTGGGATGCGAAGCGATGCATCACGGGGCATTGGGACAGGACCCAGAATGCCCTCCCTGCCCCCTTCACACAAGCCACAGCGCCAGAATGGGAAGAGGTGCTCTGTGGGATAGCTGCCCATAATGCACCGCTCCTGCAAGTGCTGCAAATGTGGCCACACCAGTGCGCTTGCAGCTGTCAGTGTGGACAGACTGCAGTGCTTTCCTTACTGCGCTCTCCGAAGGCAGGTTTAACTCACAGCGCTCTACATCTGCAAGTGTAGTCATGCCCTAAGGTACACAGTGTAGCTGCTCTTTGTTGGCAGGAGAGCTCTTTCTCCTGCTGACAAAATAAAACCACCCCCAATTAGGGGCAGTAGCTTTGTCTCCTGCCGACAAAGCTATGTCCACACCTACCCTTTTCGTCTGTAACACTTTTGTCAGTTGGGGTGTGTTTTTTCAAAAGTTTTACTGACAAAAGTTTTACCACCAAAAGTGCAGTGTAGACATAGCCATAGCTGCTGCACTGTTCTCCAGAAAAACTAGTTTGCCAGACTACACTTCTGCTTCCTCTGGCTGGGAGCTGGATTCTACTTCTCACTCCCCTGCTGCCTGGCTCCAAGGAACAATGCAAGGAGCACATGCTGTAATCCAATTAACTCCCCCAATTAACTCAGGGTGACAGAGAAAACAAAACATTGGCTTCAGCAAAATGGTAAATACTGTGGCAGGGATGCTGAATTCCATGGCATCTTGGGAAAATTTCAAGTTATCCAGCCACCGAATTGTGGAGTCTATCAGGCTGTAAGTGAGATAAGTGGGGCAGGTCACTCCTCTCAGAGCTATTGGTTCTTGTTCTGATCAGATGTAGGCAAATGGACACTGCACTGATTTATGCTTGGTTCGTATACTTGAAGTTTTTTTCTGTAACCATAAGGGCTGCTAACATACTGTTTTAAAATGAAAGCTGAGACTCTGGAGCACATTTCTGCAACAAATCCCACAGCCATGGAATCACAGAATACACAGCGGGCCCTGCCTATAAGTTAATTGCCACAAATCTGTCAAAGGGAGAGGAGCTGAGACCAAGCAGCAGCTGCCCCTTTGTCTCATTACCAAGCTTGTGGAAGGCCTGCATGGAAGGAGCTCCAGAAGTTTAGGTGATTGCAGATCCAGGACAGTAGCCTGTATCTGCAGGAGTTAATGCAATATTATTCCTGTGGGTTTCTAATCAGCACTGTCAATACCCTTTGTGGGGGTATAGCACAAGCCAGGCATGGATGGAGAGTCCAAGGTAGGATGGCAGCAGAGACTAGTGGAGAGGGGATTTCTACAGAGGTTCATACAACTGTCAAATTTTCTTATGAAAATAAGAATATGAGTGAGTGGTGCTGGACAGCCTCATCCTCCACCCCCAATTCCATGCCATTGGACTGCAATCCCCCCATTAAACCTGCATGATCTGCAGAAACTCCACAAGAAGATATATGCAGAATTTTCTAGGACATCCCTATCTCCTGTTGGGTTTTCCACACTGAAGGTGTACCCAGGCCCTTTTTATCAGGAGCCATTTGTGTGATGTTAATGAGGAATTTGACTGACTGGGGTAACAACAATATCCTAAAGCTTTTTTCTTCCTGGACAATGAAGGGGATTATGCTGGTTCAGGTTGGGTCACCCTGTATTCACACCCTATGCGCTATTGTAATAATCTTGTACAAAATATGCATTGTAAGGTATCATTGGAAAACTAAATTACTGGTAACTAATATGGTGATTTGTGTGTAGCAACAACATGTGTAAAGTTATGAAATTCCCCCTGTATGATGGTAAAGGCACATGTTCAAACTCATGTATCCCTGATTAGGTAGAACTGGTCTGTCTTAAACAAAAGGATGTGTGTTTACCTCATTTTGCATATAAGCTGTATACAGAGGCCTCAGACAGTGAGAAGACATGGATGGAAGAAGACAAAATCTGCATTTCAGCAAACATGGGGAGAAGGAATAGCCTGGCACCTCTTCCCCACTAGACTCCATGTCTCCTTGCTCTCAGCCAGAAAGAACCTTATCTAGGAGTCACTCTCAGGAATTTCAAAGGGTGACTGAACTATAAAAGTGAGGGGCAAAAACACCCCATGTTATCTCTCCTTGTCCATCTCTCTTTTTTCACCTTAGAAGACAAAAGAAACAGACCACTGGATCTTCTGAGCAGTTCCTGACCTGAAACTTGGTCAGCAAGACCACTGAAAACCTGTGGTAAGAAGTTCACCTTGAACCAACTTTAGTTTAAGTTTAGAAAGTGTTTTTACCTTTATTTTTCATTTCTGACTTTAGTGCCCTGTTGCTTGTACTCATTTAAAATCTACCTCTTAGTAGTTAAATAAACTTGTTTCACTCTAATCAAAACTAATCTAGTGTTGTGAACTGTGGTTAACTCAATTTAAGGTGGTAAGTTGCTGTATATTGTTCTCCTACAGTGACAATGAACCTGAAGTATCTGAACTGTCCAGGAGAGGGTTGCACAGTACAGAACACACATTTCTGGGGGAGGAAGATTCAGGACTGGGAGTGTGTTGGGGTCACCCTGCAAGTAATGACCCAGGCTGGTTGAAGCCGGAGTGTGGCTGGTGTTTGCTGACAGGCTGCTGGGATCAGAGTTGCTGAACCAGCACTGTGACCATACACAGACACTCTGTGTGTGACCTGTACACTGACAGATTATTTGTGAGTTACCCAGGCGAGAACTACAGTAGCAAGGCATTGTGGGCATCTGAGGTTGCCGGGCAGGGGTGATGCAGCCCCCTCACTCATCTGTATTGCACCCGGGAATGTCATAGGGCTTAATTCTGATGAGCTCACTGATGCTTACACACAAACATAAAAAAATATTTGAGAGAACACAGGGTCGTTGTCAGGAATATCCCCTGATTCCAGTAAGTCCACATCCCCTTTATACACTTGTTGAGGTGGAGTGGTTGCAACCTCAGCTGGGAAGGCCTGGCTAGTGCCTTCTTGTCAACAGATCCTATCAAAAAGATTTATGCTGGCTTCATCAAGAACAGTGCTGGATTAAGGCGTAAGTTAACTAAGCTACATCTTAGGGCCTCACACTATGAGAGGCCTCTAAAAAAGAGGAAACTGACTCCATTTCATATTTTATCAAAATCGGTTGTTAAATAAAGGAGATATGGGGAAAAGAAGATTATTTCTAAATGTAGACATTTTCATTCAAATATGACAAAAATATAACCATCTGGCTACACAAATACCCTTACCCTACCCTTACCCTTCACTAATTGTTCATTATTGACAGGCGGGAGCAGGGCTGAGAAAAAAACAATAATTGCACTTGTAAAATTAGTATTTCTACGAGTAAGTCTGTTATCAATCTCCTACAGCAGCGTTTTGTTGGCCAGCTGGTATTGGTAAAATTCTGACCGTGCCTTCATAACTTATTTAAATAAATAAATAAACAAACAATCTCATTGCCGATAAAATTGGGAAAAATGTGAGGTCGGAGACGGCACTGCCATGAAGCCATCCTGCCAAG